ATCTTAAATGTTATCATAAGTTTTCAATACATATATTAATTGCCCAGTGGCCAATTCCAAGTTCATGACTATTGAAACTTTAAATTCGATTTCAAAATTTTTTTTATAAGAACTTTATTTCTCCACCATTGTGCAACTTAGATATCTTTGTTATATACTACTTTTAATTGGTCATAATATTTTCGGATATTTAATAAATTCAAACTTTACTCATAGAACCAATATGCCTATATAAAATAAGAGTCCATAGTATACTTAACTCTAATTTTAAATATTTTCACAATCATTTTGTGATCAATATGTTACTATCTAGATCATCATATTAATACAAGTTATGAAACATGAATCCAAAGAATCATTTTCATAAAATAGAATAAACAATAATTATCATATTAGTTCTACTCATATTTTATGCAAAAATTTATGATGAATTTGCATTGGTTAAATCATTGATTGGCTAATTCTAAAGTTTACGCTTTCACAAACTAATATTATTATCTAAGCCTATATGTTAATATGGCATATAACCAACCATATCCTTACCATTATTATGAAACTATTGAAAACTTTGGGAACTTATTCACTTTTTCATTTTAATAGCCTATAAAAGGTCATTTTTTTTGTACAAGAAGCAAAAATATATTCATTATCTTTAACCAATAATGTATTAATTGGATGATGTCATTCTATCTCCATAACCCATATCTTTTTTATATGTATAAGAAAGAAAATTTCATCTCACTTAGTTTATTTTTGTTATAAATGACAAACTATACCAATGTTCTTCATGCCATCACAAAATGAAATTAAACACATGCATGTATTGGTGCCTTTGAAACATTGAATTTGCATGTTCTTTTTTAATTTATAAACATGCTTAATTAGACATTGATGAGCATTCTTTAAAATGATAGTAATCGATAAATATTTTAATATTTTTTAATGACATACTTTTTCATTTAATCAATATCCCATATGCAAAAAGCAACAATGCTTTTTGTAATCATTGATTAACTCTTTGATGACTACTTATGATTTCAACTTTGTGATTGTTCACAATAAAATTTTATTTTGTAAAATCACTTCTAGTGTAATACACCTAGTAAGCAAAAATATCCGTCACATGGCCCATATTTTTTATAATAACAATTATTTGGTTTATTATCCACCAATTAATGCATGAAACACCATATCTTAATAATAATTATTTACATTTATCAATTTAATTTTAATTGATTTTCATGAAAATTGAACACAAATCAAAATTTAAACCAATAATAAATTTAAAATATATATATCAACATTTGATTTATAAACAACTAACAAAGATGGAACCATACAAATAGCTTGACTTAACTTATTATCTTAATTTTGGTGCCGTGATTTAAAAATAAAACTAATCTTGCAGCAAAATCTTATTTTCTGCATATATTCTTCACTTATATCTATTTTTTTATGGTAAATACTTTTACCTATTTTCAATTATTTTCATAGAAATCATAAGACAATTTGCCTATTCTATATATAACCAAGATATGACAATTAAATAATTGGTCATTTCATTAGAACCTAATTCAATTCATTACTTTATAACAAGTGATAATTCTTTTGGTCGCAGATCAATTCATGTCATTTTCTTTTGTGTTTCAAGACTATTTCCCATCCTAGTCTTTATATGCATAGATTTTTCAAATAAATATAATACAATTTATTAAACACAATTGTGGAGTCTATTTTAGTATATACATAAACTTATACAATATAATCAATATTTTGCATATTGTGTTTTGATTTTACACACTAATAAAATAAATTATTAACGTATTTATCTTATTCAATGAATCTTTTTACCAATTATGCAAAAAATAAAATACATACTTCTAATAAAGATCTTAATGAAAATTAACATTTTGATCTACAGAAACATTAATCTTTTAACACCTTAAGCCTTCTCTAATACTGATCTCCAAATCATACCAATTTTTTTCTTGTATCTTTCTTATGCAAATATAACTTTCTTATAATTGCCTTTAAATTGTTAAAAAAATATATCTAAGAGAAGAGAAATAATAGAAAAGAATTTTTTCTTTGAGGCGTGAAGAATACTTTCTTAAAAGTAATTATGCTTTTAAGATACAACAAACCCTTAAACTCTCAAATCAGAAGTAGTAAAAATAGTTATACTGAAAGATTTATTTATAATGATTGAACAGACATAAATTTTTATTTAGATGGTTATGACATTTTATATAATCATGACCTTTATGAATAATAAATTATTTATATTCAAATAGTTATGATCATTTGTCATATAATAATTATTTGTGTTCAAACATAATTATTTAAAATATGAATAAAATTAATATACAAATTAATTTTATTCATCAATAATTAAATATTTCTATCTAATGTGAAATGCACAACATTCTAAACTATCAACATCTTCCTATGCGACCACCCTTGTTTTTCTTTATGAAGTTTTTTTTTTTAATTGATTGATGTGTTAAATAAACAGATATTAGAAAAATGATTTGGCAGCTAGCTAGAGTTTTCTTTGAATGATCTTTATGCATGATGAGTAGTGATTACTAATGCAACAATTTTGTCTTTGGTTCCGGCAACTGCTAGAGGGGAGGAAGGTATGACACTGTTTTTTGTCTGTTGTAATCCTAAATGTGGACGTTGGTGGAGAGATTAAGATCTAGTTGGTCTCATAAGTTGATGCTTACAGCTGCTCAATGTAATGTTTGTTTTCACAAACTATTTTTACCAAGACTTCTGTGTTAATGTAATACAAGGAGCTTGCTCAACCTTAACCTTTTACTTCTTTGTTAAATTTTCGTTTAGAATCAATTACGAGGCAAAAAGAATGACAGATTTCTTTTCACATTTAGTATCAACACCCAAACAACTTTAAATATAATTAACAACACCTCGCGATGTCTAACTTGCATGCATGCAAAGGTGGGTTTGAACCTGACCTATTAACCAATTGTGATTTGAGTCCCAGGACCAGTTCTTTGTGTGGCATTATTTGCCTCCCCTTTAATGCCTTTGAACTTCGGTGTCAGGTTGAGATTTGCCAACCCTGATTTTACCACCAGTATCTTGGTTGGTTATATTTGCATCCCCCTCAATAATTTGAACTTCCGACGCTTATTTTTTCAGGAGCAGGTGAAGGGTTGGGTGCACAGCTAACTTGCTCGTTCGACATGGTTTTTTTTTTTTTTTTTATTGGTTACAACTAGTTTAGTTATGAAACAATGACAGTAGCAATTGAATATTAACAATTAGAGATTAGGAGAACAAAATGTGAAGCCCTACTGAAAACAAGCACATATAAACATGAACAGATCTGAGGCATGCATCCTATGGATGAAAGTTGATATTGTTGTACTTAGAGCAGTCCTAAATGGAAAGAGTAGCTTGTCCCAAGTCAACATACATCTTCATCATCCTTGAGGTTGCCACAGACATTACATTCCAATACTTTAGAAGGAGCATCATCAGATGGGGGCAACGGGGTAAGTGTACCCCAACAGTTTTCACGATTACACAAGGATCTCAAAAAGAAATAAGCATGAGGAAAATCAGTGTCGCCTACTTCAGCCCCATGTTATGACTCCGAGGCTATTATTTGTTCATAGCTGTCCTCATCCATGAACTCCTCTTCCTCCTCCACATTCCCACTATCATCAATAACATCAGCTTCATTATCAGACCAATTAGCCTCAACCTTGCAACAGTCACTGTCACACGTAAGCCATAGTCCGAAGCCAATCTCTTCTGTCTGGTGGAGTAGTTAAGATTGACAGGGAAATAACTCAAGCAGATCTCCCTACCTTGGGGAACATCATGAATCATCCTTACTATGATGTCAGTATTCAGGTCAGAAGTCAAGTCAAGGTAATCAAATCTGCAGGCATTAGGAAGACAATCATGGTTGAAGAAAGAAGCCTTGGGATAAATACCGTAAGCACGAACGGACCTCTGCCCATCTTGTTGTAGAGAGACAGGTTCCATCAAGCCAAAGGCATTGAGCTTATCGTTTGCCAATATTGCTGCTCTGAGTTCGACAGAAATAGATAATGAAGGAGGGCAGGGGGATGAAATGAGAGAATGCAGGAATTGGACAGCAGGAGCATCAGAAGGAGAGTCACGAAGAGGAAGCAAAACCTGGAAAAGGGAGGGGGGAATAAGGGCAAGATTATAGGCAGCAATAAGGAAACGTGTTTGTACTTTTCGTTTAAGAATCAAGAGGTTGAGAAACAAGGGAAGGACAGTCACGAAGGCGACCGAGAGCCTGGCAAACCCAAGGAGAATGAGAGGCAGCTGTTGCCATGGTTAGGCAATCAGGACTGCAAAAGAGATGAAGATGAGAAAATGACTGACATGGTGTTACATTTGCTGATGATGAGAGTGTTCTAAAACAATTGTCACAATAGGAGGCAGAGGCAGAAGTTTAAGGTTTGATCAAAGGAACAGCAGAGTCAAAATTTGTTTAGAGTAAGAAAGGGTATAAGTGAATATTAAAATTTTATAACTTCATAAGATTATACTAAAATCATATCATAAATGAATAGATATAGCTCCAATTTTTCACCTGGGTGTTTGAACTGACAGCAGCTTAGGAGATTTCTTCGAAGGAAACCAAATAGAAAAAGGACGATATAGTGAAAGAAAATGAGCTTCAATTTAATTACAGAGAAAGCCCAATTAAAAAATATCATATTAATTAAATTTATAATTCAAATATTATATTAAAAATTTTATAATTTAAATATCACATTAATTATTTAACTTGACATTATTTCTTTCAAACAATTTCAAAACAAGAGTCACCGAACCAGTCAACCAGTAAGAACAGAATTGGCTAAAAGGAAGGCAATAGGAACAAAAAGCTATTGCCTCTCACCAATGAAAGATCGCCACGTGGTCAAATATGCATCACTTCTACGTGTCAACAACTCAGCTCCAAAATCTATTTTTTCTTCCTCCTTTCTTTCTCTCTCTTGCCAATAAACAAATTTAAAATATCTCTCTCTTTCTTTTTCTCTCAAATTTGTATCATCTTCTTTACACTCGAAAATACGTATTTATATACGGTCGCGTTTAGTCAGCTGATCGGCCGGAGGCGGTAGCGGTGCTGGTGGTTCGGTGTTTGATCAGATCGTGATCCAATGGCTGAAGACAAGTACAACCTCAAGAATCCGGCAGTGAAGAGGATCTTACAAGAGGTTAAGGAGATGCAATCCAATCCTTCCGATGATTTCATGAGCCTCCCTCTCGAGGTCTGTTTTTTTCTCAAATCTCAAAATTTTAGGCTTTTTTGAGTCCCAGTTTGATAATTCTGGTTCTGGATGGAACAGGGACTAATTTGAAATTTTTAAAAATATTTGATTTGTTGTCCAATTAAGAGGCAAGCTGTTTGCTGATTTATGAGATTATGGAGGATTGTCAGGACAAAAAAAATTTTTTTTTTTTGTTTTTGTTTTCCAGGAGAATATATTTGAATGGCAATTTGCAATTAGGGGTCCTGGGGATTCTGAATTTGAAGGAGGGATTTATCATGGAAGGATCCAATTGCCTTCAGAGTATCCATTTAAGCCCCCTTCATTTATGTTGCTAACTGTAAGTGCTCGCTTTATATATATATATATATATATATATATCTCTTTTGGTAATTATCTAATTTGATGTGCTAACAAGTTTGTTTGTCTGTCTGTCTGTCAATTCAGCCAAATGGGCGTTTCGAAACCCAGACTAAGATTTGCTTAAGTATATCTAATCACCACCCGGAGCATTGGCAGCCATCTTGGAGTGGTGAGTATCACTTCTCTTGAACACAAACGCAATGCGAAGTTTGATATAAATTGTATCCCAAATCCGGATATTGAGTATAATGAAGAAGTATTTGCATGTTGTAATGTTGATTCCATTGCTATTTGATGAAACTCTTCGGAAGGATTCGTGAAAATGATAGTGGCAACTAGTGAATTGATAAGGTTTCATTAGTACTATTTCATATCCCTTCATTATGGCATGTCCTTAGTCTGGTTTTTCTTATTTAATTGACCTGTCTTTTGGATTGAAGCCAAAAGGTTTCCCTGTGATTTTTATTTTAAGAGCTGGTACATGCTTAGAGTTAGTAAGTTTAATTAGTGAAATTTGGAGAAGGAAAAAATCTAGAAAAAACCTGGCTAATCTGGCTGTTGGTGTTGAACTGTTGATAGTGCGGACTGCTCTTGTGGCACTGATTGCTTTCATGCCTACCAGCCCAAATGGTGCCTTAGGTTCTCTAGATTATAAGAAGGAAGAGCGGCGTGCTCTTGCTATCAAATCTCGTGAATCACCACCTAAATTTGGGAACCCCGAGCGCCAAAAACTTATTGATGAGGTATGTTGTGCCTAGATTACAGCCTAATAAGGTGATTTTGGTCATCTGTTAATGAAGCTTTTGGTGGCACAGATACATGAATATATGTTAAGCAAGGCACTTCCTGTTCCTCAACTCAATCCTTCACAGGCCTCAGAAGAAGACCCTATTGATAGGGATGGAGAAGCTCAGGCTAATCAGCAAGATTCTGTTACCATGGTTTCTGGGAATGGGCTCCTCAATCAACAAGTAGGTGACAGGGTTGTTGAGGAAGAGCCTGTGGCTCCTACTGATGCTAATCAAGCTACTGCTGAAGGGAGGATGAGGGTAGTGAGAGAGATTCCTGCGAGTGGACAAAGTAATGAGCCACTGCAAAGGCCAGAGATGAGGGTTCAAAGGTCTGCTGATGACCACTTGTTTACATGGGCTGCTGTTGGACTTACAATTGCAATTTTGGTTCTTTTGTTCAAGAAGTTTATGAAATCTAGTGGACATGGTGCTGTTTTCATGGATGGTTCATAGTTCCACCGAGGATCTACAATGACCTGCGATCGCTTTGACGGACTAGTTCAACAAGGAGCTAGAAACCTATCAATATTTTTATTTACATCTAGAGTGGATCATTCTGTAATATATAGCATGCCGTCTTGATAAATCTCAGCTATTGTTATTAATGGTATATGTGAGCATGATATATACACATAAGTTTTGAGTATTCTTTGCTTGGTGAAACTCTTGTAGATGTTCTGTTCCAACTATATAACACATTGAGCAGTATTTTGCAAAGTTGGCTACATTGAAGTACAAAGCGTTAAAGCAATAAGCAGTGTTCTTTTTGTTCATACATAGTCTGCAATGAACAGTCAATGTATGAGCTTGAAGCATCGTTGTGTATTTACCGAAAAAAGGAGAGATGGTAGAGTTTTCTTTACAGTGGTTAGGTGCATGAATCATTGTCACCCTCGTTCTCTTCGCACAAAAATATGCTCAAATGATTTTTGTATCCATCTGGGAAATCAAGGAACTTCTCAGCATGCAATCAAAGACCTTGCCTTTGCATGTGTTGCCTGATAGCAACCAAGACTGCACAGGGGAAGCTTTGAGTTGGAATCTCCATAATTGTATTTGTACAATTAGGACCAGCGCAGTTTTCTCGCAGTGGAGGAAAACTAGAGGGAAAAGAAATCCATAAATCCCGCTTTGAAACTTTCAGAAAAGCATTTAGGTCATGAAAAACACAAGACGGATTTGTAAGAGTACCTGCACGGCGCTGAATTGAATAGCTGTGGTAGACCAATATCTTCAGAAAATGTAACTGTTGCTCCACCAGAACCTATAACCCATCTCACCATGTTTGATGCAAGAGTTTCAGGTTTGGCAGCCTTTCCCTGCAACAATTATTAGTTCAAAATGCATGAGAATAGTGTTAGAAAGTACACAGAAAAATGCATGAAACAAAAAAAGTCAAGGACCTGTGCCAATTCATCCCGCTGCTTCTTCGGCTTTTCCTCCCTCTTCTTTCTTCCAGAATCTTGACCCAGTTATTTTCTGATTGCCTCAGCCTCAGACAATTCAAAGACCCTGTTAAGACTGTGTCTCAAATGATCATGGAGCAGTAATAAAATTAATCAAAAGCAAAAAAGAAATAACGGGTAAAACCTCAGCTTCCCTGGCAGCTTTCTCTGATTGAATTCTACGTCTCTGTGCAGCCTCAGCCTTTTTCAACTGCTGCTCCACTTCAGAAAGTTTCTCCTTTTGTTCTATCATCACCAACCAATATTAGCATTGAAAGCTCTAAGATACTTAAAACACATTGCAGCTGTATCATTATTACGAATCCAAGTTATTCAAAGGGGTAAAGGGATAGAATCATATTAGGGGAAAGAAAAAAGTAAATGAAGTAGCATGTGAGGTAATTGCTAACTTTTGGGTGGGCCAGGAGGTAAACCATCGGGGAACGCAACAAGACTGGCACCAGGACCAGATAAGAGATCTTTCCGAGACTGAAGAGCTCGATTACGTGTTGTATGAGTTGATTTAGTTCTTCCTTCCACAAACAAATTAACTGATCCCCTTCCCAGCATCTTCCTTCTAGATCCAGGCTCATTGTCTGATATAGGCTCATCTTCTTCCACATAATCTCTATCCTCAAAAATAGCAGTATATCTCCCATTTCTCTCATCCTCTTCATCTTTATAATTTGAGAGCCATTTGAAGCATTCAGTCTCCCTAAATAACGGATTTCCTCATCTTCATCATCATCATCATCACTATTTATATCCACATGGCCAAATCCAAGACACGCCTCTTGGGAACCCGCTTTTCGATTTGGCTCATTCCTGTCAGTTTGATTCACAGCTAAACTTAACACAGAATACCCCTTTCCATAACCAGAGCCATTGCTGGAGAAATCTTTCCATTGAACTCCATAGCCTTTTCTATCATCAGAAAGTTAGGAGCCTTTGTTGTCCTGCAGCGATTGTTCATGCAACAAACCATCAGCTTGCAGAAAAAAAAAATAATTGCATTATAACAGAGTACCAAAAGAACGAATGACACATGGTAAGTAAAATGTGGAAAAACTTAAAAGTAACAAATGACAATGAGACCAGATTGACGCTTGTTTTCCCAAAACTTACAAGCAGTAAACCTAATAACAAATGTCAGAGGAGAAATGCCTTACGAAGAACCTCTTCCTATTGCAATGATAAATAAAATTGACGTATCTCAGAATAAAGAAAGATCAAATTCAACAGCAGATTGTTGGTCACAACACACAATTCTTTAGAAACAGTATAAGCAAAAATGAGAAGACTTAGTTAAGCTAGGCACAACACCAGAGGCATGATCTGCAGTGGACTTGGTGCGGATCATACGGGTAACCCCACCAAGCTTGAGCTTAAGTTTCAGCTTATTCACTTCCTAATCCATTAGAACCATTCTCAAAATTTTTAACTTCATTGCCACTACTACCTATGGCTGTTGTTTGTGATGACATTAAAATGTAATCATGTGTAAATGTCTGTTGAGTAAGGAACGGACTGTGTGATATGTTACTCCTCTTCTTCCTTACAGCACAGCCAAAGACAGCCAACCCTGGCCAGCAAAAGGTTTCCATAATGCCCAGGGAATCGAACTCTTTGACAGCAAATGACAAAATTAAGATCAAAATAGACAAGTAAAAGGCAAGAAAGCAAACCAAACCAAAACAAATAAATTCAATAATCAGATGTGCAATAAACAGAATCACAACAAAAATTAAAAAAAATTTCTGGTGTTTTCATTTCCTGCTTAACTATTAAGAGAAAGTTTCAAAAAGACAAAAGGAAGAACCAGTTTGAAGCTCAAAAGTCTCGATGCCGAGGCAACTTAAAAAAGATTCATACAAGGCTGCATTTTTCTCCATAAAAACTACAGCTCGGAGCTTAACAATATATATAAATATATAAATATATATAATCCCCCCAACAACTAGCCTGTAAGTCTACACATTGAAACAAAATTTTGTTAAAATCAAACCATAATTATGATAAAAATGATCATTTCTGTTTTTAAACAAAAAAAAAAATTCAAATAATTTGATTCAACGAAGTACTTGAATCAATTCTGTTTTGGGATTTGCATTACAAATGTCAAATCAAGGAAATGATAAAAATGGTCAAGCAAACTACTGCTAGACAATATTTGGATGGTTTTCGTTAAATTGCATAAATCTCTATGTTAAGGCCCTCTAGAATATATTTTCACAAAAAAAAAAGATTGTAAAGCTAGCTGCTTTGAATTTCCTTTTGGTTTTTGCCATTGAAGTTGGAACAAAATCTGGTATGCAGCATATAAAACATTGTCAACAAAGACTCCAATAAAATATCATGAAACACTTAGCAACATACAGAAAATCATGGATAGAAGCCTTAAATGATTCTGAAGGTTGTTTATGATCTCCATCAAGTACCCTTTGATATCAAATTGCAGTGAAAATTGGCGCATTGTTATTGTTTCTACACTAGCGACGGATCACACTCATGATTAATATTTCCCCAGAATCTGTGTTGAGAAAAAAGGAGACTATGAAGAGCAAAGCTCCTAACAGGATGAACAAAACTGCAGTGACACTCATGATTAATTCTTCCTAAAATCTATATTATGGACATGAGTTAAAGATCCATTTAGAATGTCAAAAGTTTAGTTCAAACAAAAAACATTAATTATTTTCAGTAATAATGCAAAGAAAGCCTGATAAAGATATGGGTATATGATAAAGTTTAGCATTATACATGCAGTTAAACATAAAAAGAAACTGAGAATCTATTCATTGCATGGGTCAAGTAGCTATCAATCTGAAAAAAAAAAAAAGGTATCCTGCCATCCTGGAAACTTCCATGCAAAGCATGTTTAGACTTTATTTCAGTTTCATTCAAGTAAAAGCTAAACTGATTGCTTAAAGATAAATTCAAGAATTTTTAACAGTGTAAATGGCTGTTATGTTCCAGCTTTAAAAAGTTGAAGCCAAGAAATCACACACACACCATGAAAAAGGTTGCTCGATTAATGCAAAAAAGAAAAGAAATATATACTATTTCTACTATTTATCACTTCAATTGTTAGCACTATAAGGTAATCAATATTAATCTATGTTGAATCCGAATTTAAAATTTATATAATCATTCAATAAATTTGCCGTAATCCTTTTTTTTTTTTTTGGTAACCTGTACCTATAAAATTTGAAAACTACTAATAACGAAGCATTTAATTTTAGAGTTAACATTTAATATATTATTAATGAAATTATTTTAATTCTAAAATTAAGAGATGACACATCTCCCCTAAAGCAAAAGAAGTAAATTTTTCAAAACAAAAAATTCAAAAATATAAAATAAAATAAAAAGTTCTTCTAACAATGGCTCGGTTAAGCACATGAGCCGCGCTGGGCCAAGACAACTTCAAGTTGGAACAGATTTGAAAGCCCAAAAAACGGATAGTCGTCCGAATGTCAAGCCACATTTTCAGTTGGAGCCTTGGAGGCAGTTGGATCTGGGTAATTTTAAACGATTACCCTCAAAAGATGTTTTAATTACAAATGATGCCATTATAGACTGGAACTAGGCTAGAGGCTAAGGAGATTCTGAAAAAGGTGGGCGATTTCCAAAAGCAGAATCTGAATTTTTTTTAATTTTCTCTTTCTTTAATAATTTTCCTTTCTAATTTTCAAATCCAAAATAAATAAAAAATCACAAAAACCCAAAAAAGAAAAAAAGAAAAAAAGCTCACTCTCATTAGAGAGCACTTCTGTTTTCTTCAAGATCAAAGCGCTCTCTTTCTCTCTCTGGAGATACGATGGCGTTTTGGTGGCCGATCATCGTTCTAGCCATTGCTTATGCGATCTGTCGTTTCTTACTCATGCTCATTCCTCCAAATGTTCCTTCTATTGACGTCGACACTTCCGATGGTACGTACATGGATTCGGAAAATACGTATAAATTCCGCTTTGCTTATCCGTATTTTATACTTGCTGAATCGTTTAACTTTTACTTTAAATTTGTTCGACACAGTGTCGGATGACGGGAACCAAACTCAAGAAAACAGCTTTATTTACGTGAGTGTTTCTCAGTTGCTTATTTGATTTTGATTATTTGAATTGTTTTTCCTTTTTAAATAATCTCTTCGATTCAAACTTCAGAAATTAGGTATGATTGTTATTCGATTTAAGGATTAAATTTGAGTTTTTGACTCGGAATCGAAATTTGTTTCTTCCTGCTAGAAAAAAGTACTTATTTTAGTGGAATGGATCTAAGGTAAGCGCAATTGAAGTTGATTTATTAATCAAGTTTTTAGATCTGACAATCTAAAACACAACACGGGTGACAAACACGAATACGATACCAAAATAGGACATGAATGTTACATGACTTAAAATTTTAGTTATAATTATATATGGGTTTAATAAAACAAATCATGTCAACACAAATTGACACGTAATTTTCGTTTTAAACACAATACAGATATATGAATTTTAGTATTTACATGACAAGAATACATGAATTGTTAGGTCTAATTTTTTGCATGTAAAATTAAAGTTTTTTTTTTTTGTGTGTTATTTGAATCTCATGTGGAAATTCTGTGCAGATACCGCCAAGGGGAAGAACGCAACAATCAGACAGAAAAGTTCAATGCTATGAGCCTGCTACCATGAAATACTTGGGCTTTTTCCCGGCATTGACACCTGCTGAGGTTAGTGATGTTCAGGATACATTTACTAGAATTCACTAGCAAAAGAGTATTTATATGTTCATTGCTGGATGCCTATATTTGCAAACCATATATAGACTTTAGACCACTTTGTGTGCTTGCTTGTTTGTACATATGGATGTATCATGTTTCTACTGCTTATCTTCAGAATTGTTTCAATATGTACACTTAGGTTGAGGAGCGTGTGGCACAAGCAAGGAAAGCGCAGAAAATTTGGGCAAAAAGTAGTTTCAAGCAAAGGCGACAGTTTTTGCGAATTCTTTTAAAATATATTATTGAACACCAAAAGCTTATATGCGAGTAAGGATTCTGCTCTTCTATGGATAGAGAGTGATTTTTTTAATTTTTTTATATCATATTTTCCTTTTACTCACATTAAAAACTTTATGAAGTTCATTTTTATTTCCTCTCTTTTCAATTTTCTGTGTATCAGAAAAGTGAAACTCTGCATTTCTTCTGATTTCATGATATAGACATTAATTAAATACCTCTGTGTGACCCAATGTTTCATTGTTTTACTTAAGAGTCTCTTCACGAGATACTGGGAAAACAATGGTTGATGCCTCTTTAGGTGAAATAATGACAACATGTGAGAAGATCACTTGGCTTCTTTCAGAGGGTGAAAGGTGGCTCAAGCCTGAATACCGGTACTTCCTTTCAGCCTTTGAATATTATTTCCTCTTTCTAGGTATTCTTGGCTCTATCTGGAAGAGAGATCATCCATTACTCCATGCATCTTATTTTTTATCACTGAGTTTCTAGATTGCACTATGCTGACCTTTTTTTGCTCATGGCAAACCATGCAATTATGTGTTTGATGTATTAGCTTTTTTTCTCAATCAACATTCTATCTGTAAGCTTTGTGCTGGAATCGTAGAAAATGAATGTCTTACTATAGTCTATAGCAGCATTCTTATCAATTCTTACTTCTGAAAATTTGGCTTGTAAGTGGCTTACTATAATTTTGGAATCTATTATGAGTGTTTGCTATCTGTAAACTCTGCATTCTTATATCAATATTCACTTCAACTTGTGCAGATCTTCTGGAAGATCAATGCTTCACAAGATATCCAAAGTGGAATTTCACCCGCTTGGTGTAATTGGGGCTATTGTTTCATGGAATTACCCTTTTCATAATATTTTTAATCCAATGCTTGCAGCAGTCTTTTCAGGAAACAGTGTGGTGATCAAGGTACTTAATGATCTCTTAGAATGTTTTATCGTTTTATCCTTTATCTTTACTGGTTTCAGAACGCTTCTTAGTTGTAAATTTGTGTCTAATCTTAGAGGCTGTTGCCTAATGCCTACATCCTTGTCCCTGTAAACTGGTCACTGGCATTTACAGGGATGTATTTTGACATGTATCACTAAGTTGACCAAAAACTGTGTAATTGTAAGTGTAGGTTTCTGAACATGCAAGCTGGTCTGGATGTTTCTACTTTCGGATAATCCAATCAGCTCTTGCTGCTGTTGGAGCTCCTGAAAATCTGGTTGAGGTGGTTACAGGGTAGGTACTTATCCCAACTATTTAGACATACTATGCTCTTGGTTTCTATGCATCTAATTTTAATTAGACTTCTCTTTCAAAGCTTTGCTGAAACAGGAGAAGCACTGGTGTCTTCTGTTGATAAAATCATATTTGTCGGATCACCAGGTGTGGGACAGATGGTATGATCTTGTGAATGGCTGGCTGTACCAAATTTAGTTGTTTTCTCCAGTATACTGATTTCACCTGCCTATTATTCACTTCTGATTTTATTGTAATTGATTGTGCAGTGTTTAAGTATGTCAGAATGTTATATGAAGCAAATATTAAGTACTGTTCTTCACTATTAATAAAGGAAAATAAACCACTGTTCATTTTTCTTTTATTTCCCCTAGTTCCTATGTTAGTTTTCAGCTTCATAGTAAATGAGTTTATCTTGATAAGACTTCTTTTATTGTTTTAATTGCAAATGGATTGGCATGTTTGCTTTCATTGCAGATAATGAGAAATGCTGCTAAGACCCTTGTACCAGTTACACTTGAGCTTGGTGGGAAAGACGGATTTATTGTGTGTGAAGATGTAGATATTCCTCATGTATGAATCCTTTCCACCCATTGTGATAACTAACATGACTGGTGATTTATATTTTGGTTGAGAGCTGAACTTGCATTGATTAGTGCCATTGATAAGACTGTTTTCCATGATATAGGTTGCACAAGTTGCTGTCAGGGCTGCTCTCCAATCAAGTGGGCAGAATTGTGCTGGAGCTGAGAGATTTTATGTTCACAGGGATATTTATACTTCATTTGTGAATCAAGTGGCTAAGATTGTGAAGTCTGTTTCAGCTGTAAGATGTCCCTTCTCGACAATGTTACATTAATGTTGTGTCATTCTGTGACTGATAAATTATTACCAGCTGTTGCAGCTTTCAATCAGGTCTAAAACTTGTGTGCTTACGTTGGAATGTAATCGCAGTAGCAATTGTTGAATTATCTAGGCTGCAAGTACTTTATGAACTAAATCGGCATTCTCTGAAGTGAAATTAGATCTCTGATGTTTGGTTATCTTTTATAGGGCCCACCACTTGCTGGAAGATATGATATGGGTGCCATTTGCTTGCAAGAGCATTCTGACAAGCTTCAAAACCTTGTAGACGATGCTGTAGACAAAGGAGCAGAAATTGTTGCTCGTGGAAGTTTTGGCCATTTAGGTGAAGGTGCCGTTGATCATTTTTTCCCCCCTACTGTGCTCATAAATGTAAACCATACAATGAAGTTGATGCAAGAAGAGGTAACAGAAGCTGTACTATTCTGTTAAACATAGGGTTTAGCATTTGTTTCATTTTGACTGTCCACTGAATCACACATAGCATGCTGTATTTGCATCCAATCATTACAAAAGACAATTTCAGCTTATTAGATCTTCCGGTGCCATATTTAATCGTTCAATAAACTACAATACCCATGAATATTCCTTCATAAAAAAGAAGACCCATGAACATAATTATTTCCTGTTTATGTGGGGAGTATTAGCTAATTTGTGATAAAACTTGAGTGTCATGCAGGCTTTTGGACCAATCATGCCAATAATGAAATTTAGCACAGATGAAGAGGTTGTCGAGCTTGCAAATGATTCAAGATATGGGCTTGGCTGTGCTGTTTTTTCTGGCAGTCAGCGGCGTGCAAAGGAGATAGCTTCCCAAATACACTGTGGAGTTGCTGCAGTTAATGATTTTGCATCAACTTATATGTGCCAGGTACTTCTCTTTTCCTCCTAATTCCAAATATGAGATGGCCTTTTGTGTTTGCTCGAGTTGGAGTTGATCCAGTTTTCTTTGATCCCTATTAAAACCGTCTGTAGAAGGATTTTTTTGTCAACTCAGGTTATCTCTGTTTAATCCTATTGAACTAAAAATGTCTATTGGTCTTCCAGTCGCTGCCATTTGGCGGAGTAAAAGACAGTGGATTCGGGCGATTTGCTGGTGTCGAGGGATTGAGAGCTTGCTGTCTGGTAAAATCCGTTGTTGAGGATAGATGGTGGCCTTATATCAAGACCAAGATACCAAAGCCTATTCAGGTCAACCTTGCACTGTTACACTACATTGATTATTCTTTAATATGCTAACTGATCTTTTTCTTTGTTTTTTTTCTTTTGGCTCTACCAACTACAGTATCCTGTTGCTGAGAATGGGTTTGAGTTTCAACAATCACTTGTGGAGGCACTTTATGGCTTGAACATTTTGGACCGTCTCCGGGCACTAGTCAATGTTCTAAAGATCATTTCCGAGCAAAGTTCTGTTGCCAGTAGCAAGAGAAATGACTGAGTTGACACCAAGAGTGAGCTCTCTATTTTACTTGATCATTAAATTTCAGTAATGTAATGAGTCTCATTATCTTTTCCAAAACTTTAAGTCCCTTTTTGGTAACATCTTATGGAACCATCCGACAAAATTGCCCTCTATTCCTATAACTTTTGCTTGGTAATATGTGAGGAGAAACATCACTTTCCCACTATAAGGCAGAAACTTTAGTCTTTAGGCACTTTCATTTCTTGCTCATCCATGACCCCAAACCGACCCTCTTAACTGTCGTAAATAATGCTTGAAGAAAATTCAATTTCATCTAGATTACAAGTACTTGCATTAATACTAGATCAAAAGCTAAACATCACTTCTTTGTAACCAAACAAATAAAAATAAGTAGACCAGAAGAACATTTCTTCAAGCCATGATGAGTTTAGGCAAAACTTTACAATTATGAAAAGAAAACCCTCAAATTTCCCCTTTGTGGCATCACATCGATGATCACTACAGGAGATTTAGGCCTATAATGTTCATCGGTATCGACCTCTTTGATTTCCTAAATGCCATGTTGGAACATAAAAGGTTTTGTGTTAGCTTAAGCCAAATCATACAAAACCCAACCACATACCAGATTGGCTACAAAAGAAAATATTCTTACCTGAACCACATCTTCACCCTTGATGACACGCCCAAACACAAGTAGTTTTTCATTTAAATCTGGTATTGGTGCAGTTGTGATAAATAGCTGAAATGCTTTGCTATCTTCTTCAACTTTTGTAGTACAAGCATAAAGGCTCCATGTTTTGGTCTGGTTAGTTATGAGAAAAGATTTTAAGTTATCTGAATGACAACAAAAGACCAAGAAAAAGTACATTCCAGATGACCTTGTGGTCAGCCGACTATGAGGCTTCCCTTTTGATGTCCAATCTTCAATGCCTCCAAGGCCTTTTGAATGTCCTCCTAGAATCACATAGTTTTTTATCACCTGATGGAAAGGCATCCCCTTGAAAGGCCGGTCAGTTTAGTATCATGCCGGTCAGCTTTGTATCTTTGATGAAGATGAATATAACAAATATTGAGTTATCTTAGGCAAAATCAGTCAGTTTAGTATCTTCTTTTCCACCACAGTCATCGTTGTTGCCCATAATGGACGTTCATGCGATCAGACAATTTAAGTTAGAGGAATTTTTTCCAGAAAGTGGTGAATGAATTGGAATTCTTAACATCATTTGACATCAATATCCCAGGATTCAGTAATCCACCATATTTTCAATTAAAAGTCCTAAGCATCAAACAGTCCAACAAGAAAAATTGTAAGACTCCCCTAAAACAACAGCAGATTTAGTACTCTAAAAATTACACATAGAAGTATGAACATCAGTCAAAACAAGCAACATTTGAGTGTAATACCTTCATATTGGCAAGAGAAGAAGACATATCGTACTATTAAACAGAGGGTTTCATAAAAGATCGAAAGGAACTGATCAAGAAAGCAAAAGAAACTAAAAAGGAACTCTTATTCACATCTAAACAATGGAGAAAAGAAGCATTCAGATTTAAACAACAATTACAGCATTGAAAACATAAAAAATATTTGTCACCTACTAAGGCATTCAATTCAAACAATCTTTTCTTCCTCTTGAGTGTTACACAATATAAATTTTATGAACCATGTTCCCACTAATCAATGGCAATAAACAAAGAGTATAAAGATACTTGGAGACCTACCACAAGTCCAGAAATTTGTCCACTGTCTCAGGAGAACTATCCTTGAAGAGTTCTAAAGTTATGTATCCTTTTGATGTATTTAGATCCTACAAAAAGGAAACTATGAAAAAAGGTATAGCCTATAGCCTATAGGCAAAGGACTAAAAAGGATTTATGCAATTACTCCATCGGAGAAACTCACAGCATATCCAGGAATATCATACTTGTTTGAATCTACAACTTTATCAACATGCTGAACCAAAGCACAAAAATATTAGTAGTTCAAACAAAATAACCATCACTTGAGGATGTGTTTAGTATATTAGATTATGATAGAATATGATAAAATAATATTATAAATAAGATTAAATTAAATAATATCATTTTTTTGTGCTTGATGTGCAAAAATTAGAATATAATAATTTATTTATTGGTCAAATTTATCCTTTCTCAAAGTTTATATAATTTAAATTATTGATATAATTTTTAAGGATATAATAAAATATGTAAGTTCAATCTCATATATTAAAAATAATTTTATTCATTTTGAAAGGATTGAGTCATTCCATACCAAGGGGATGATTAATACTCCTCATAATCTTATCTCTTTCTTTAGATACAAATCAAACATAATATTATATGATTATTATCCTATCCTATCTATTATCTTATGCACCAAATATAATCTAAATATTTAGCTGAAAAAGAAAAAATATCTCAAAAGTTGACAGCCCAATTCCTGTTTGCTCCCTTGTCCTACAATTAACAATGAAAACATTTTCCAGAAGATTGATTTGTAGACTTAATTTCGCATGAATTAGAATTGGCATCGTGTATAAGATTGGAATAGCAAACCTTTGAGACCAATTCCTGTAAGTATCAATTAAGGAGAATAAAATCAACAGAACAATTAAATTGCACAAGAGAATTGTAGTGACTCTGATCCGAGTTGGTCCTTTCTTCTTCTTGCTTTGAATTAACAGAGCCTGAGGCTTTATCCTTGCCATGAAAGTTTAGCTTCAAGCTTTCAACTGTGGATCACCGCTCTTTATACAAACAACTCCTGTGAATTTGAAAAGCTTCAAATATTTATCCAAACAGAAAATGAAAAAGAAAACACAGCAAAGCAGATCCATTACTATTGCTTGAAAACTATCTTCACACTCAGCCCTGGAAAATGCTAACAAAGCTGATTAAAAGAAATAAAAAAAAAAAAAAAACCCTTGAATAATTTGATCCGTTGAAAAAAAAATTGAAAAGTTGCCTTTGAAATTGATCGCGTTTTGGCTTTCGAAGGAGTAACTCAAAAGACTAGTGGCGAGGTTTTCTTTTAATCGTTTTTAATCAGAGAATCGGTGATGGAGTGGACAGTTAGAGGTGGTGAGCCCCCATGGTAGAGCCTGTCTAAAGCGTCTATAATTGTATATAAATAGGCAGAATATAATGTAAAAATAAAATATAAAACGATATCATTTAAAAGTTTAATAATTATTATATATAAATTTAATATAATTAAAAAATATATTTTATATTTGTTGGGTTTGATGATATATAATTTTTATATAAAATATAATATTAATATATAAATTTAATATTTTATACGATAAAAGTTTACGAATCGTCATATTTAAAAGCAACGGTCATGATCGCATCAGGAGTTTGATGTTGGTTGGAATGGACAACAGGCCTCGCTGTTCTCTGCTTTACGCGTTGGATATTTTCTCTCTCCTTGTTCTGAAAGTGTGAGAAACGCTTTTCGTAAGAATTTGAACGGGCTCGCGGCCTCGCTGGATGATGGTTCGTTACGATCCGTTATGAGGTGGGTCGAACGGTCGGAGTTTCTTGACTCTAGTAACCTAGATAAAATTCAGGCTACTTAAATGGGCTGTTAAGCGACCCATATATTTTCAATGGATCATAGCCTTGTGCAATTTGCCGGCTGAGTGTCGAATTCATTGGAGTGTTCCATTTAGGAAGCAAATAATAAATTCAATTATCTAAAACCAGATTCCTCAACTTGATAAAACCTCTTTTAGCCTATGCATATTATGTTAATTTTAATTACGAAATAATGATATAATATGAAAAAATACGAAAATGATATAATTTAATATTTTAATAAAAATTATATATAAATTTGATAAAAACAAAAAATATATATATTTTGTATTTAATATGTCAACATAAATTGTGATACATTGATGACCAATGATGGTAATCGGACACACTGGCTCTAAGGACATGGAGCTCACTCTACTTTGATTGGATGTCAAGCTTTGTAGAGGAGAGCCTAACTAGAAAAACTTGATAGGGTCATTTGCAAGATTTAAATCTCCGTTCTTGATGTTGAGAGATCATGACATTGCTGCAGTTGGTATCAGTCGATTCTCTACAATTTGTGTATGAACATTTTTCCAGTTTCATAAAGTGTCTAAGAACCATCCATTGTTGCATCTTAGATAACAATAGTATTGTAACTTTTATATGCTGGGCCGAGGCAAAGTCATGGTCTCTTGTGTGATCTCCCCATTCTTTTTGGAGATGTAATTCTCTTGGGAGAAAATTTTCCAGAGTTTTCCATCACAATGTCCAGCTTAGACGGGTCTAATGACAATGTATCTTTGATGAAAGCGTCCAAATCAAATCCACTTCCATTTCTAATATCAGTGCCATCATTTTGTCCAGAATGTGGGCTAACAAATGGTTCTTGAGCACCATTTTCGTTAGCTGCATCTTTCAGAGGTTCCTGTGGCTTGTTGCTGAGGCCTTGGTCCAAGTTCAGAAGTCTCTTTATGCTGTCAAGAGCTGGGTCAATGACATCAAAAAATCCCATTACCCATGAAGCATCATCCACAACTTCAGTACGCTGTTACGTGCAATCGAAAGAAAAAGAATCATTTAGAAGTTCTCAATAGCATCTGGATTCTGAGGAATTCAAAATTAAAAAAAAAAAATAAAAGGAAAGCTGCAAATTTTCCTGAAATCATCAGGCAACAGGGAAGTAGATTGTTTATTTACAGAATAATAGCAATAGCTTAAATCAGTTTACTATGAGCCAATTACTGACCTGCTGGAAATAGAGGTTACGAATTTCTTCAGCACGCACAGCATTTCCTTGGTCCTCCTCCAATGCTGCCCATGTCATCCATGTTATGTAACTCTGAGAATTTATATTGAGTGAGGATCTAAATAATCTTCTAGCTGCTGATAAGTTACCGGCTCTCTGTTCCAAAACACCCCAAGCCTACGACAAATTTGATAAGCTTTAATGTATGCATCGAGCAGGCAGAAGATTATCTTGTGTATTTAACTTTTCATCAACAAAATTCTTCTTGCTTTTCAAAAGAAAAAGCAGCCAGGGAGTTCAGGATATTTGAACTTTATATCGGTATGCTTATATCATGCAGGTATTAACTATTACCTGTAAGCATCGAGCAGCACTTTCAGTTGTTGAGTCAATTGACAGTGCTCGTTGGTACAAGTCCCTCGCTGTTGATATATTCCCTTCCTTCCATTCCATCCATCCCCATGCCTGACAAGCTCAAAATATCAGCAGTGTCATCAGTTTTCGAGTGGATTCATAGACAGTAAATCCAAATTGAAACCAAACAAAACATTATCAACAATGAGATATAAAGATGATTCCCTCCAAAAATTAATAAGGACTAAATCAAGTTTAAGGGTTGTAAAATCCACAATGGTCTATGGGCTACATATCCACATAGGCACAAAACTAGCAATCAAAGAGCTTAACGAATTTCTTACAATCCACACTGGTTGGTGCCTTGGGTCCAGCTCAGAGGCTCTCCTAAACAAAACACGAGCTAGATTTGCTGTTGAGTGTTTATATTCCAACAAAGCAAGGGACTGAAGTAAAACGGGATCTCTAGGATTGAGTGCATGGCCTATCTTCAAAAGTTTTCTTCCCTTGTCAATATTGCCTTTATTAGCTTCAAAAACTCCCCAAACATGCCATGCAAACCTGTTCTTGTGGCTTGCTTGGACTGCTTTCTGCAGATTAAATACACATGTTACAGTCATGACGGTAAAATGGCATAACTAGGTCAGAGGAAGAGAGAGAAAGAGAGAGAGAGAGAATGAGTTTACAATTTGCCTTTCCGAAATTATAATCTAATCCTATAATAATGAATACCCTTTTTAATTAGAAAGGATTACCTCAAACAGTAGCCTAGCAGCACGATTGTTTTCCTGTTGCACCTCCAATTGTGCCCATGCCTGTGCTCAATCAATTTGACAAGGCAAGTAGAAAGACTTAACTAAAGCATATTTACAGTAGAAATTTGGCAAGGCATACCATACTAAAGACTTACAAGCCAGCTGGCACAGCTTTTTGGGTTGCATTTGGTGGCCTGCCTGAACAAGTATCGAGCCTGCTCGTACCTATTTGCTTTAGCTTCCAGCAATGCAAGGGTTTGATAGATATACTCGTTTCCACCACAAAATTTGAGACCTTTAGCAAGCAGATGCCTTGCCTTCTTGACATTACCCTGTTTTAGCTCTAGAACTGCCCATCCATGCCAGGCAGCAATGTGTCTCTTGTCAGCAACTGTGGCCGCATCAAAAAGTTCTCTAGCCCTTCTTATATTTCCAATCTTATTCTCCAACACAGCCCAACACTGTTCGAAGAGTATAAAAATGTTGTCAATTCCATATAAGATGAATAATAATAGAATATGAAACAGTGGATCTTTATATTGATTCATGGATCTCTGCTTAGTGATGTATCTATGTTTAACAAAATCTTTTCCTTTCGCTTGCAGCAGCTGGTAGGTCCATACCGTCCATTACATTCACCAAAACTAAAATCTGCAAAGGTTTCAGGGAAACTTCTAACTGCTCACATGCAAATAAGTGACCACCAAAAAGCTTCCTCTGTGCTTCCATATGTAGAATCCAAACAAGCCGAAGTATTTGAAATTTTGAGTCCTCATCCCCAAGAATCAACTTACTATTCTCAGATGGATAAAAGAGCAGATTTGCAAAAGCAGGCCCAATAATGACAATGACCATCTTAATACTAAAGCTTTCATTTCAGAATAGGTAGCATGAACTTGAACTTGAAAAGAACAAACATCATAGAATTTGCTCCCGAAACTAATTAAATCAGAGAATTCCAGGTTATTTCCAGAAGTTGATTCTATTAGCAGATAACTCTTTCTTCAAATGTCCTTTAGCTTTGTCCCTAATAGGTTCCACTATTTAACTATTCATTAGAAGCTATAATGGTAAATAGTATTGATAAAATCAGGCAGGAAAAGAATTATTATTCTATAAGCAAATATAGCAAAGGAGCAATCACATTGACAAACAAAAAGGAAAAGAATGCAAAACCTGCCAAATGTAGGGATTTTCTCCTTGAGTAGCCTGGCAACCTCTCTCATACACAGCTCTCGCTTCTGCCTTTTTTGATTGCTTGCTCAATATCTTCCCTAATGTTACGTATGACCTCCCATCTTCTGGCCAATAGTATATACACTACAAACAAAAATACAAAAACCATTATCAAAATCACCACACAATCCCCAACAAGCAACTCAAAGCACAATGTAAAACCGAAAAATCACCAGAACCCAATTATTCTTACCTTCTCCAGTATCTTTTCAGCTTCTTCATACCGATACTTCCTCGCCAAAACCCTCGCTTTATACAAGGCCAAGTCCAAGTTCACAGTAAGCGGCTTCTCTTGAGCACCGCCAGCCTCCACTCTTTCGGGCTCAAATATAGGCATCTTCTTGGCAAACTCTTCAAGACCAGCATCTATAGCCGATGATTTCAACACATCATCATTACCTTCTGCTTCACCAACCTCACTCCCATCATCATCTTCTTCACCGGAAGCATCCATGACTGGCCTGCGAACAACCAGGACCTTCTTGAAAGTGTCCTGATTGACTTCCAAAGAGTCTTGTTGGCCTGCTTCTTGGTCCAGGACTGGAGAAGAGGAGGAATTCTTGGATGAGCATGGAGGGAGAGAGAGGAGGGAAGGAGAGGGAAGGAGAGTTTTGAAGGGAAGTAATGTTTTGAAGGTGAATTTGTTGGGGGTTTGACAAGGAGAAAAGAGAGGAAAGTTGGGTTTTGCTGAGGAAGACGAAGAAAATATTCGCATTCTTTCTTTTTTATCTTTACTTCTTTTTGCTTTTAACGGATAAAACTGTATGATTTTCATGGACGGGAACGATAGGCGGGCACCGGTGAAGAAGAGAGCAGTTTCCCAATTACCAATATGTCCTTGTGCACGATTCTTTTAACATATTATTATTAGCCATTTTTTTTATTACTACAGTATAATTTTATACGATCATGTTTTACATTGAGAAAAAAAAAAAAAAAGCAATCAGTGTTTTAAGTTTTTTCCTTTTTTTTTTTTTTTGCCAAACCTGTTTTTAAGGTTATTGTGGTCAATTTGTAGATTACCAGTCTTAACGACCGGGCAATTAATTAAGGAAAGGAAAGGATATTTATGTAATTTGGCAACACGATTGGTCTGAGATTGGCCACGTTGCTCGCTCGTTTTTAGAGGCTCACGTTATGACCCTCTTCTTCCTCTTCTACTATCACAGGAGAGGCAGATTTCACATGCTACGTGGAGGCATTTCGTTGGCAAAAGTAATGTTAATATCGTCAACAGGAAAATAAAAATAAACCTATCCTTCCCTAGTCCCATGTTTAGTGGAGTATTTCAGCTTGTAGCTCTCAAAATCATCAACCATTCAGAATATCACGGTGATTAGTGAGTACCTTTTCTTTCCTACTTGATACTCGTAATAATAACATATCTCAATAATAATCTCAAACAGATTGGAGTCGAATATTTGATTCAATGATTTAATTTATATATGGGGTTCGAAACTCCCTTTTCTCGAATCAAAAATTAAAATTGAAAAGTTTCCCATCTTCCCCCCTAATTCTTTAATTGCATCATATACCTAGCTAAAATGGTTGAAATTCCAATCTCACATAAACATCATAACATGACATTGTCATGTACAAAATCCTGCTTGCAATAACAGAATAGAAGTTCTAATAAAAACAGATGAACAATACCTAACAGAAGAAGGAAATAAAAGACATTGCAGATGAAATAGCTGATATATGTGGATAAGTATGGATTCCAATAGTTGAACAGGAATTAATCAAATCAAAGCTAACTTAGCTGCCATGCTTCACCAAAGCTTCTAGAATGGAGGGAAATAACAAAGCTGTTTTAGCTGACGAAAACAATAACTCCTCAACACTGTCGGCAGTGAATCAGCTTATGCGTATCAGATTAGTACTATCATGAGCATCAATAATCATTTGCAGTTGGCGAGACAAAGAACCGGAACAAATACAAAACTTTGAAATTTTGCCAAGGTTAATTTTGCAGTCAACATTGTTGTATATGGAAGAAACTCAATGATTCCATTCCTTGGAAAGGAGAAAACGAGAATCCTGCTTGACATGAAATCTGCATTCAGGTTATAGAATGGTAATTTCCATCATAATTATCCTGTTTGGAATCCATTCATGTCATTCCAAAGAAAACCTGAGGAGACCATATCTCATTTCCCAAAAGAAGATATGAAGTAAACCATACAAAAGCTAACTTACACCCCACTGCCTCTTTCGAGCAGGCCTTTGTTGCTTTATTTCCTTAGTATCAATTAACAATTCAACTTGGGGATCAGAAGTCTTGTCCTGTTCCCGTTTTATTGTGATGGGATCCTTAAATCGTTCCCTTCGTTTCTCCATCTTTGCTAGTGTCTCTAGTACCCGTTTGTTGTCATATTCACCCACAGCTCTATTCTCATCAGAAGCATTGTCAACACACAATGTTCTCATCTTCACCTTGCCCATCATAGTCTCAGAAGCATTTTCCTTTTCCAGGTTCATATCTTCAAGACTTTGCTCTGTGCATATAACCTGGCCCTCCTCAATATCCAAATCTTGGTTACACTCTGTAACTGAAAACTTACCAAGCTGTTTGTCCTTATTTCTTCTGCCATCCGTATTTGGGATTTCTGTATTAACTGCTTTGCTGCCACAGGAGTCATTAAATTCCCTTAAAGATTTCTGCTCCACAGGATATTCCAAGCCCATCTTTTCAAGCCTTGCATTGCAAATTAAGCTTCTACCATTTGAGTGTCTTCCAGAAGACTGCAGAAGGTATTATCATATGGAAATATCACAGATTATAACCTATCATACTCTAGATAATTTATCAAATTTATATATATCTAAAGAAGGGAAGCTAAGAAGGTCAGATGCAATGACAAATGCAGACGTTTATATACTTTGCTCAATAACAAAAATCTGGGAAGAAATCAATATCAACCATGATAATGCCCATGAATGTGAATGTAAGAATACAAGTAGTGCAGTGAACCATGAACGTAAAAACGCAAACAGTGCAGTGAACACTAAAACAATAAGAACTGTCAAAAATGATTGTCTGCAAATAGTGTCAAATCATTTTTTGCTAGTTCACCAACATCCAAAAGATTAAAGCAGCTAACTGACATGATCAAATTACTTAATCCATCAAAGACCAGAAGAAACCGTAGGTCTGTCCAGAGAAGCTAAAGTATGCCAATCTTGAAAGCAAAAGCATAAACTTCCCATGAGCTCAAGAAAAAGTACCTATTCTAACTTAAATAAATTGACCTGTATTCCAGCACTTCACCTAAATTAAAGGCATTAGATGGTGAAGAATTATAGATGAGATCAAAAGAAAAGAAGAAACATGCAATAAGATCATTAGAACATAAGGCTTGATCAACACAAATAGAACACTCATATATACAAGTACATTTATACAAGGTTTTCTTGACCTCAGTTTCTCCAACTTTACCTTTCCTTCCCCAACAATCACGTCAACTGAGTCTCTGTCCTTCAGGACCTTCTGCTCATGCTCACCTCTATACCTAATAATAGAATTTCTTCTAAGACAGGTGGCATTACTTCCTTCACTTACCATTTTGTATCCATTATGCTCCAACATCAAGTCATTAGTAAGCATCTCATCCTGGAGTGATCCATGCCTAACATGAGTTAAATCATGCTTAGAACCTTTTTCAGAAGAAAATGAGACCCCTTGAGCAAACAATCTATCATTTACAAGTAATTTATCCTCCCTCCAGTGTAGTACTCTAGATCGCATGCTAAGGCCTCTTCTCCGTGACTGAACTTGATTATCATTTTGCAAATCATTTTCATCAGTATAATTATAAGAACCGAACCAACCACTGTCTCTGTCTTCCTCATGACATACCATTCTCCAATGCCTATGGTATCGCTCAATTATCTTGGAGTCATATGCCTCATTTCTTGATGATACAGTATCATACCACCTTCTTCCATTAGGTATGGATGGTTCTCTGTCAGTTGCCAAGGCCAGAGATCTACCATATGTGTGTCTCTGATACTCATCTTCACTTTCCATTGGCCATGATCTATGGAAATAGGCAGCACCAACATATCTACCTTTTTTGCCAGAAGCTTTGAATTCTCTCCTGATTGGTTGTATGCATCTCTCATATGGTTCAACCATACCCCTTTTACAACGTGTGAATGAAATAGATGTACCATACTTTTGTTTAAGCCACTCATCTTCAAGCTTATAATCTAATGGACAATCATCCGGATCAGTTTTCTTCCTAAGTTGGAGTCTATCATTTCCCCTTCTCCATTGAATATCTCTTTCCGTTGAAGCAGAGGAATTCCTTGAGACTAACCTCCCAGATTGCCTGTAAGTACGAGGAACCAAACCCTGCTGAGCATGAAGCCTTTGTCCATGATACCAAAACCCATCCATGTCATCTTCTTTATCAATGTCAGCTCGTCTTTCATCATAAAACTCCTTTCTGTTCCAGTTGTTTCTAACAAACTGATCTGAATCTTCTTTGAAGCTCAGATGAGCTTTTGTGTTGACAGCCCGAAGGTGGCCGTCATCAAACCTTTTACTGCCCTTAACACAAGGTCCTTTCTCCTTGTAGTACAAGGAACCTTCTCTATCATGATAACCAAGATCTTGCGGTCTTTCTTTCCATCTGCCACAATAAACAGATGAGTAATCTTTATCACAGAGTTCCCATGCATTTGATAAAGGGGAAGATTCATAGCAGTTTTCAAGGTATATCTTTCGATCAGTAATACCGTGAGGTCTACCACGGTGATGCTTCCATTCTTCCTCAACAGGATTTCCATGTTTTTGATATCTTTTCAGATCACCCTCTGCATCTGATACTTGATAAGTGTCATCATCACTTTCAAGCAAGATCCTCTGTTTCACATAATGTCGGTGTCTCCAACTCTCATGCTTTAGCTTGTCTCTCATGGGACTTGTATGTACTGAAAAATCTTCTCCATCATCTGATTTTGTTTTGCGGCCATCACTTCTGGAACTCTTATGATCAATTGAATTCTGTAATTCAGTGCCATAACCTAGTGACTGCCTTCTTAATGGACTTCGGATTTCAAAGGAAACAGCATGGACGCTATCTTCAGATCTATCTTCAGGATCGCTTTCAGAAAAGGAAAGTGTAGGGCTAAAATGACTCCGATTGTCGTGTGATGGTTCTGTTTCAGTAATGAAAGGATCTGACCGGTGAATATTTCTGCAAGTCACTTCATTTTCCTGATTTTTTGTCTCTGCTGCTTCAGCAATTCCTTCTGAAATGCAAACATCCATATTTTGATGGCAACCCCAATTCACATCAGAGAGGTTGTCCTTATCATGATTATCAGTCTCTAGTGAATTTTGATTAGAAGCAGTCGTCGGCCGCAAAGACCTAATCAGATTAAAACAAGAAATTTATCCTGTCAGTGCCTTATATATATTTTAAAAAAAAGCTTATTCTAAAATAATTGTTAAAAACTTGGCATGTCCACGCAACCTATGTATTAGAAGCTGATAAATGCAGAAGAATCTTAAAATGCCAGCTGTAAACATATTAAAATATGCCAACAATAAACCTTCTTTGCAAGCATTAAATAAGTACCAGTATCCACATGATATTAATTTACAGAAGTATTAATGGAATCCCTCATTTCTTCTGGTTTTTTTTTTTTTTTTTTTTTGGGGGGGGGGGGGGGGGTTGGGAGCAGAGAATCCTTTAATTCTTATACTTCCAATCAGATCAATCTAAAAGTAAACCCATGTTAGAAACCAGAAGCATGTAGAGAACTCAATAGAGGGATCTATTAAGCTTCAAATATCCAACTAATCACATTTACATTAAGGACAACTACATTTGAAAAGAACAATTGATTCAGACCTCCCCAAATGCTCTCCAGACAGTTCATCACTGCTAGCACTAACAGAAAAGCAAACGTCTCCATCATCCTCCGTATCCAACTTCCCAGATTCTGACACTTCAGACTTGCTACCATGACCTACTTCCTCCTTCGCAGAGTCAGATGAATCCACAGTGGAATCATGTACAGTTATCTGAACCCAACCAATGGAATTAAAAATGATATAAAGATTACAATATGCAAGAATTGTGTATCTAAAGACTAGAGTAACATCAGACCTGTATAATAACATCAGAATCCTGAAAATGTGGACGCCTTAGATCCATGGATGGTTGGCGTTCATTGATGCTGTCTTCAACCTGTATTGCTCTTCCTTTTGGCTGAAATAACAAGCCAATAAATAATTAAACAACACCTATGAAATAGATAATAAAGATCATATCAGATACTGAAGGTTTAGGCATACCAATTCCAAGAGCCTCTCTCCTCTATCAGCACGTTTTAATGATGATTCAACTTTAGCTACATCCTCAGTTATAGCATCTTGGGTTGCTATCTCATGCCCAGCCTCAGCTTCATAAGCCTATAGCCGTACAAAAAAGATGTTGGAAATCTCAGATAATTGAGATAGTTTTACAATTCATTACCTAAAAACTCCAGAGTCTACTATGAAAATTAAAATAACCAACCTGGTCAAATTTTGAAGAATAATAAGAAGGAACCCTAGCCTGCCAGGATGACTGTAACCAAAATTTCTCCTGTAATGCAAAAAGGTTTCTGTATACAGGTGCAATTTAAAAAAAAAAAAATGCTGCTGCAGTGAATTATAAAGAAAAAAATGCAGCAAGATAGATACAACAATATGCTCCAGCTAAATAGCAGTAGCATTACAGTATAAAGTAGTAACAACCTTATTCGCATGCCAGAAGAAATCTGTTATATCACAAGGTGAAATGTGGTAAGACAATTTGCACAATGATAATTTACTTACTAGGGAGTTACAGTATCGTTTCCAGCTGTCCTCATTGAAACCAAAATTGAAGAAATCTGTTGTATCTACACCTGGATGCCTCCAAGGTTTCTCCTCCAATGCATCAATATTCACATTCAATATTGTCCTGAGAGAATTAAGGCAGGCAGGACACATCTTGGTCAAAAAAAATTCCTTAGGGACTAGTCTAACTCTAAAGGATACTATTAAGAAATGCTATAACAGAGTCAATAATTCACCATTTTTAAAACAAATATAAAAAAGAATAATACCAAAAAAACTCAGATATCATTAAAAATCATTACACAGATTACAGTCAATCCATAATACATGCAAGGAACACATAGTTAATTAGGTACAACATAATCAACGATTAAATTAGCATCTACTAACCTATACCATGGAAGAGAAAAACCATATCCAAATTGATGTGGTAACGGTTTCGTGGAAGCATGTCTATTAGCAACCTGAACCAAGCTTCCAAACTTTTTTTGTTTGTAAACATCATCTTCCCAATTACCTCTTCCATACATAGAAGAGATAGATGATCCATGAGGTTTCACACACTACAGAATAACAATAACAAAAATCACCACTTTGCTACAATAAGGATCAAAAGTCTAAGATTATAAATGTTGAACTTTATACTAAGAAAAAAAAAGTCATTTTTCTCCATATAAAAGCTAAAACAATACTAATATATACATACAATGGAATCAAAACATACATAAATTAAATAAAATTCTGCTGCTTTAAGTACAATGTTTTGAGCAAAAAACACTACCTTGAAGTGCGAATTATGCCCAAGTTTAGCTCCAGTCCCTCTTTCTACACCATTCCCACTAGAATTCAGCTCGGACCCATCACCAGCCGGTTCCATCCGCCTTAAAATCTTATCCGACCCGGCTCCCTTCAGACGAAAATCGCCATCTTCAGCTTCCTCATAGCCGCCACCGTGACTCCTAGCACCGGTAACCAGAAACTTGTCGCAATCATCATCGTTCAACACAATGTTCAAATCGTCCTCGCTGTCACTATCTTCCATAACTGAATCGTGGAGGAATTTCTCATCCGCCTCGGTGCTTTTGGAGCCATTGCGAGGGCTATTGTCTTCTGGTTCAATGTACAATGTGCCGATAGCTGAGCTAGCTTGGACTTCAACGTCCGCGTACAAATCACCAAAATCATCATCTATCGACTCCATTTTTTAACCTTTTTTTCGTTCGCGTAAAAAATAGGCTAGAGATATTTCGATAACATTAAACTCAGTTCTGAGAAAGGACAAAAGAAAAAAAGGCAGGTAAACGTGATACTATAACATAGCTAACCCCTATTAGGATCTAAAACACTACAGAAGCCATTAGCACTTAGCAGGATTGGAAAGGCTGTTAACATTGGACCACGGGGTCATGGCAAGAGGCTGGTATTTTGGGGTCATTCCTTGGATTGTGACCCAAATTTTGTGAACCAGTGTTGATTAGTGGCCCATTTATGAGCTTAATCTGGGCTCTTTATGACCCTTTTCAACTGCCATTTGTAATCTGTTGGATTTTTTAAACGGCCTACTTATTGGCCCTTTTCAGACCAACCGATTTTGGGAAGCAAGACCAAGAAAATATTAGTAAAGAATCATTTGACATTACCAATTAGATAAAGGGCTAGAACGACACATCGCTGCTAGTAAATTATTGAAATTTGATTAGGATAAAATTTGAATTAAATTTAATTATTATCAAATTTAATTCGAACAGTTTAATTTATTGAATAATTTTAACGTTTTAATACCAGACAAATTTGAATAATTTATAAATCTAATTAAATTTTTATATTTTAATATTTTTTATTATTTCAATTAAAAATTTAATTTTTTACTTTCATATATATATATATATAAATCATTCAAACAAAAATAATCAAGTTTGAAATCGTTTGTTGAAATTTAATTCTTTTTTTATTCGATAAATGAATTTAATAATAAAGTACACTTGAATATTTTGATTTTTATTTTAAGTTAAGTTCAAGATTAAAAATTAAAATTTAATCAAATTCAAATCAAATTTTGAATAATAAATTTTTAGTTAAACTTAAACTCAAAATTCAAGTTTCTCACAAATCAATTTCACTCAAGAGTCAATTATACCTCTACAATTGGAAAAAAAATTTTGAAGGTTTTGATTGAATTACGTGAACAATCATACCCCATGATCCAACTATGAAGGTTGTTGGCCAAAATTGACCGTACAGCCCAGTTACTGTCGGCTCTTTGGAGAGCCCAAAATCCAGAAACCAAGGACGAGAACCAGGCCCCAGTAAGCCGCCGCGCAGCCGCTGGTATCTCTCTATTCGAATTTCTGTTAAACAACCGGAGAAACGCTCCTTTTGAATCAAACAAACAACCTTGAGTTGTTCCATCGACTTGACCTGTCCGAAGTCCAAACCATGCCTTGCCTCTCCATATGTATGTATTAGTTGAATATTTCTCTTAGCAAACCATCAATTTTCGAGCAAAGTAAGACGCATTGAAATCTTGTGTTTATGTGGGAGACATTATTGTCATGTAAAACGCGGCTTAGTGGTCGGTATTTCGTTCCATGAAAGCAGGCTTCTGTTTAATGCATGGATGGCAATGGCGTCCGCATTTGCATAATTTGCAAACGCATATATAGAACCTGGAAACTAGGCTGCGTGCTGAAGCACATGACATGGCAGGGTGGTCCAAAAGGGAGACAGGATTCATCTTCTCTTCTCCACAGTTGCTGGACAATCAACAGTGAGGGTTCGTTACCAAAACTTCAAAGATCAAAAAGATCAATTACGGTGTTTTCTATGTTTTGGGTTCTTCTTTGGCTTATCTAAAATGTCCCCTGAAGTCTTAACTACATTACAGCATTACCACAGCATTACCCAATAGTATATATGGTGAACAAGATCTTTTGTATTTGATGGGGAATCTATGAAGTAGCATCGAGTTTAGGGCGGCTTAGGTTCAGGATATGGACAGAACATTGCATGTATTTTAAGCCTGATCTGATTTAAACCTCAACCAATGCACGTGAACTTGATAACTAGCAAACTAACAATGCAGAAAACCTGACACAATTCCCTCTGTATTCTCAATCAAGGACTTAAATGAAATTTGAACTTGGGTAGCTGTAGCCATCTTTCTTGCTCAGCAGCCATGACTTTTAAGTATCTGCAGCAGGACTTAAACCTTCTCACATGGCTCCATAAACAGCTGAAGAAAAAAAAAAAGACTAGTCTCTTTCTCTTCGAATCCTAGCTGACTTTAATATAGGTTTTGTTTCCATTTAAAGACAAAATTAGAAACTGAGAATAAACCAAACAGAATGTGAACCTACCCTTTAGTGAGCTCTGATGAATCTGCTGAAATTTTGCTTTTAAGAGGAATCTCAAGAACAGCATGCATGTTATCTATTTCTATTTCTATTTCTAAATGTAGGAAAAACGCGTTTTGTCTTCTGGTGCAATTAATTCACACCTTAACATTACTAGTTAGTACAATTTATTTGCTATTAATTTATTTAAGAGGAAAAAGATGAAGTCTGAGGAAGCTTTCACACCATCTCAGTGAAACTTCAAGGGAGTTTTCCTTTCACATTTGGCCAAAACCAGACGAGAGAGGTCTTCACATTGGCCTTCTCAATCTTATCACTCGTGCAGGCTCCAATGTAATGTTAAGTATTGAGAAAAAAAACCCTTAGCACTTAAACTTCGAAGAAAACCAAAATAAAATTTGCGAGAGGACGAAGAAATGTACATGTGAGATTTGATTGTTGCCATAAACCTATAGCATTTCTGCATATATTTGATTATAGGTACGCAGGTGCACGTGCAAACGATGCAGATAAGAAGTTTACTTTCTGTGTTCATGATGAATAATTCATTCCTTTATGATGTTTTGTTTATTAAAAAAAAAAAAAAGAAAAAGAAGTGCTGGTATAGGCTTAGATAAAAATGGAAAAGTTTCACTGTTCTGATGGGATGGAGACAGGAAGCTAGCCATTCCTACAAGTTCCTGCAGATTGTCCAAGCCATGAGGGTACTGCCAATTCCACCCTGCAACTTTCTTTAAGAGCTCAGAAGTCGGAGTCAGGACTCAACTTTTATCTTTACTGAAGATGTTGCTGCTTCCTGTGCCTACAAAGCTGCAGAAAAGAATAGAGGATTGAGGTAGAAACTAGAAAGAAGAAACAGCATGAGAGAGAGAAAAGAGAGGGGGGGATTTGAAACTATTGAAAGAATTAACACAAAGTTGGCACTTGCAAAGGTGTAAAAGAAAAAGGAAATTTGCTTTTTAACCAACAAATATTTTGCACTGCCGATCAACAGGATGGTACAATACTACATTGGCATATGATGATTCATTTCTTCCATGAAAAAATGTACTACCAGAAGTGTAGCTTTATGCATGTTATGTAATAAGCAATGCTAATAGGAAATCACCTTTGCTATTGTATGCTTATTAATGTGGTGGGTGGTCCTCTCCTTATGTCCTTCATATAAAGGACCCTTACGTCATTCAAGTAGCTAGAGGGTCACAACTCATTGCTCAAGACCTTATAAAACTCCACCAATCTCTCCTCTCGTTCTCTCTCACAATTATCACATTTAACCAGAAGGCATAGAAGCAGGCATACTGCTGAACTGTTTCATTTCAACTTAATTTGCATCTCCTAAAACATCATGAGCTCGATTCATGTGTACTGGATTTTCCACTTGCACTTGCTCATAATTATATTTTGTGATCTTGAAATGCATGCAGGTAGTGTTAAATTTTCCACTCTTGAGTCTTTGATTCTTCGTTTGAGGCATTGAAGCTTGTTATTTTGTCTGTGTTATCAAAATCTTGGAGTTCTTATTACCATTTCTGGCAGAATCGTCCAAGAAACTTCTGCATTCAACTTGTGGTGCTAGCTGCCAGGTAACAAGAGTTAATACGACACCACGGCAGGCATATTCAATTCAGAGAAAGCTTTTGTTACATGGTAAATATTCCATTGCTGTTCATGTAAATATTACATGGTAAATATTTCGTATAAGCTATTTTAATACCAGCACAATTTAGCTGTTCATCTCAAATGTACCATTCTTTTCTGCTTTGCTTCCTTTCTTCAATAGGTAGTTGCACAAACAGAGATATAAGCATCTCCCAAAGCAGGGATTCCACTTCTGGGATCCCACAATACATAGTGCAGATTGTCAACACCTGCGTTTCTGGTTGTCCTCCTTCAGACATCCATCTCCACTGTGGTTGGTTTGCCTCTGCAAGAATAGTAAACCCGAGAACCTTCAAAAGGGTCTCCTATGATGACTGCTTGGTAAATGGAGGTAAAGCTTTGAAGACTAGCCAAGCCATCAGATTCACTTACTCCAACTCCTTCATGTACCCTCTTGTATTCAAGTCTGCTGCGTTTTGCTGACCTCTACCGTGAAGAAATTTGTACAAAGAAGTTATGTAGGAAAGCAGACTGGGGTATCCAATTAGACCTGACGCCATGTCCAATCAAAAACACAAAAACCAGGCAGCTAGGAAATAGAAGAAAAAGCAAGGGCTCATTTTTTCTATAGCTTTAATACTAGCCCATTGATGATTGAACTTACAGTTATCTATTAAGACTTGCTACTTTACTTTTGACGTTTGTAGCTATGGATAATGTATTGTGTAATGTTTCATCATCCCCCAAAAGTTGAGAATTTCATTTTTCTGGAATCAAAGTATTTCGAGTTAAAAGTTACTGTTTCTCTGGTTGCATGGGGCAAAAGCAGTGCCTAGAACTCAGTTCTTTTGCAAAGCGTATACTCTCATTCTAGTTATCTCTCTTTCTTCTTTTCCTCCAAAATTAGGAAAGGTAATTTTGGTTTCATTTTGCACTTTGTCATATCTAGACTAGAGCTGAAGCTGTCGGGTTGATGGGAACCATTCAGGAAGAGTTAGCAGAGGCCGGTTTGAGAAGAGAAAATGAGGAAAAGTTTCAACTAGGAAAGAAGCATAGGCTGTGAGATAGCATTTCAGTCCCTCCTTGTGACTCCAAAACACTCTCAATAACATCCAAGAGATTTCCATAGCTACAATTTCTATTCTCGAGCAGTGTGCCTTGTAACCATTGTAAACATATTACCATTCAAATTCTAATATGGAGAAACTGAGTCTTTTTCCTGCTTGTTTGAATGTGATCCAATCAGCCCTCCATGGACCATTGATGGATTACAATTCAAATCTTGTTGTTTTCATGAACAAATAAAAGAAAAAGAAGAATCAACTGAATCACCTGCTAGTACAGCCATAAACTATTTGTAACAAATGCATCCCTCAAATTTATTATCCAGTCTTTTGAAGCTTGATTTTATGATTTTGTCATAACTCATAACCCAAACTTAAGCCTTTGTTTTACAAATTTACAAGAAACTCCACTCGATTCAAACTTGATTAATTTCTCACATTTGGGTTATGTTTGATTTGATTACATCCTAATAAATATTGTGAGACAAGTTTAATCAGTGACTTCTTTTGCGAAGGAAGCTGTAATCTAAGGATAAAGGAAGGAGTTATAGTTACAAGAAATCAGGCAAAATTTTGATGGTCAAAATAACTAGTCTGCAGCTTTAGAGAAAGAAAGAAGCACCAAAACAATTACTATGCATTATCTTCCTTTCGGAATCACTAACTGTGAGAAAAGAACACTTGAATTTACATCATCAACTTCCTTATTTGCTGTCTCCTCATCAATGCCAAGCATTGCTGTATGTGTAGCAAAAGCATCATTGGCCTTATTTTCTGTTACCACCATGCCGCATGGATTTTCCTGCAATTGAAGGGAAAACTCAAGATTCCACAGCACATCACCCATTGAAGGGCGATCAATCCCATGATCTGATACGCACTTTTCAGCTGTCTCCGCGAATATCTTAAGGCACTCTGGATTAATCTTTCCTTTGAGATGTGGATCAATAATTTCATGGAGAGTTCCCTTCCTTTGGCAGTGTAGAGCCCAATCTACCAGACTAACTTGTTCCTTAGGCAACTTTGCATTCAATGCCGGCCTTGCGCACAACACTTCAAAAAGGACTACCCCAAAAGAGTAAACATCAGATTTTTCAGTCAATTGTTGCCTACGGAAGTATTCAGGGTCCAAGTAGCCAAAACTACCTTTCACCATTGTACTAACATGACTTTGATTAAGATTTGGACCTGTTTTCGACAGTCCAAAATCTGAAACTTTTGCCACCCAATTCTCATCTAATAAAATATTTGTAGTTTTAACATCTCTATGAATGATTGTGTACCTGGCGCCAGTGTGAAGATAGTGAAGTCCTCTTGCAGCTCCAATGCATATTTCCAATCTTTGCTTCCATGACAAGGGTGGTTTGTTACTCCTATATAGGTGCTCCCTTAATGTCCCATTAGCCATGTAATCATATACCAGGACCATCTCTCCATCTTCTTCACAAAACCCTATTAACGAGACTAAATGCTGGTGTCTCAGCTTTGAGAGCATCTCGATTTCAGTCTGAAATTCATGAACCCCTTGTTCTGAAGAAGGGTTTGATCTTTTTATTGCAACTTTTGTTCCTCCATCTATAGTACCCTTATAAACCTTGCCGAATCCTCCAACACCAATAATCTGTGATTCATCAAAGTTCTTGGTGCCATGTTTAATCTCCCATAAGGAGAAATGCCTACAGAAACCAACTGCAAGACTTGAAAGATGGCTAGCTGTGTTGCTTTTTCCAGATATTATTGATGTGTGGGAATGGCCATAAAGCGGCAACCAATTGCCACTTTTACTGCCCACACCAACATTGTTCATTTTCTGGACAAAAACAAATACAGCAACCGCTAAAGCACAGCCAGCAATCCCTCCAGCAACTCCACCAAGCAAAGGGCCAACTTTAGACCCTGGAGAGAAACTTTTACCTGCTGCTTCTGCATTAACAAGCATTTCTGATGGCACAGGCTTCGGGCCAGCCAAATTTGCATTTGTGTCATTAACTTTGAAAACCTCCAATCCATTAAGAATTGCGTCATAGTATTCAGGCTTCATCGATAGAGTAGGATGCAATGCCACCCATATATTTTCATCTCCAGATTGATCATCGACGTAGGCTGCATAATCCTTATAAACTGGTATTCCTTGAGATCCTGCCCAGCCAATGACATCAGCCCCACTCTGTGCTGTTTGGTTGTTAACAAAAATATCAAACACTCTTTGGTTAATTTTGGTAAGCTGATACTCACAAAAATGTAACCTAACAACATATGTGAAATTTGCGTCAACCTGAAAAACCCAAGTGAGATTATAATTTTGATTAACTTTGGATCCGGCCCCATTGTTCGTGCAGTACTATACACATTCAAAGGTGCAAAATCTTCTGTTACATCTTTTGAATATTGAATTCTAACATTTTTACCAACCTCGGAGGTGACACCAATTGCAGCACCAAACAGATATGGTGAATCATCGTACCATGTTCGTGTAAGCCGATCGTCATTTTTTGGAGCAATGAACTGTCCTCCTACATTTATCCTAAACATTGTTTGCAAAGAGGAGCTTTGAACATCAACAGATTGATCACTGTATCCAACCAAAGCTGCAGGCTGTTGGAATATATCAGGTATAGGAATCACTTCAATTCCATTGATAAAAGCGTATGATCCACTTTGTTCCGTAGAGGGAGTGATAGTAACATTGAGATCACCAGATGCAACAGGTGTTAGAGAGAATTCTCTAGCAATATACGCCTGTGTAAGAGCTTTTGCTGTGATGGAGGCGCTGAAATTTTTGAGAAGCGTAAATCCATTCGCCATGACAGAAAAATACGCCTTGGAGGGATTAAGATTATTATAATTGAACGGATAAAAATGGAGCCTGAGCCAAAGGCGGGTCTTTGGTGAAACAGAGAACTTGTATGATGATGTTGATGTGAAAATCCTTGCATTCATATATGGCACTGTAGATGGGAGGGAAGGGTCTTGGAATTGTGCCGTAGCTGTTTCTGAATTATCAGGAGAAGCTAGAAACTTTATGTCAGGGCTCCATTTGCGTCCATCTGCATCCGTACCGTCACCTCCTGATGCACCACAAGAAAGGATATAGGATATAGACTTTGGATCAGAGCTTCCACTAAGAACATGGAATGAGTTCGCAGTAAAATAAAAATAAAGAACAAAAAATGAGATTTGATATGTGGATTTCATATCTTGAAAGGAAACCCTTTTCACAGATTTGAGAGAAAATGCAATAAATGAGACAAATAGGCAAAGCAGCATACAAGAGAAAACAGAACAAAAACAGAGTACAGCGAAACAGGGGTGCAAGGAAAATCAGGCAAGGTTTTCCTGTACAATTATCAAAAATGAACGTTTAGGACTTAATAGCACTTGGTGAAAATGAATGTATATTCAATTATACAGTTAGAACTTGCAAGTAACTGGTATTGTTTGCGTTAATTTTCATTTATTGACATTTAAACTTTGGGAAACAAAACTTTCACTCCATTGGTGGGTTTGCCGAGCTCTCACTGCAACGCAAATGCAAGGCAAGGGCAACACTGAAGAACCAGAGCACAATAAAAAGCTCTCATGGGTCCTTCCCCTAAAAAAAATTTAATACCAAATGAACCTTAGGATCCATATATCTACAGGTTCATTTGTGAAACCGTAGGCTCACATTATCATATATTAAACTGATAATAACAGATACAACACTTGACAGCATGCTATTTAGTCTTGTTTATGACTAAATTAGAAACCATTATATATCTACAATATTCCATGCATAGCTGAGTTTGAGCATTTTGTTTCATGGTTATATATCTACGAGCATCATCAACTAATTCTCCTTGGAGTCACATTTGAAGTTGCGAACCCAACAGTACACATTATCAGATAGCTTTCTGGTCCACTATAACAGGGGAATGGGCTTATTACTTTGTAATTTTGATCGCGTTAGGACCAAATATGACAATAGAGTCCGAAGTTTTTAACAATAGCAGGTAGCAGAATAGCACAAATGACAAAAACAAAGAGATTTTGGATATTTCAGTCCAGGGATTTAAAATAAGGACGCAGTTGCATTTTGGATCATGTTATGTCTATCATGATTATAGATATAATAAATAAGATAGTGATAATTGTGCTCATCACGATTGTAAATTTTTTTAAAATTTTCGTAATTTATCATTTCATATAATAATATTTATTTATGATATTTTAATTTTATATTTATCGATTAAAATAATTTTTTGATATATTTTAGTTATAACTCAAAATCAATATATTATAAAATTCATAAATATATTAAAGAAAAACCCAAATAACAGTTTAGTATTCCGTTATGATCGCAATTTTCTATTATTCCATTATTTGCGGACGTGATACGTTATTATTTATACAAATGACAATTCAAACTTCTATTGTAGTTAATAATGAAGGTAGAGGGCGACGTTATAGTTTAATAATGGTTGTTATAACGCGTCACGGACAT